TGGTTTTGAACCAGGCAGGAGAAGGACATGTGTGACTAATGGCATTATTCCAAAGGATGAATTGCTTAGGGAAAAATTAAATAGCTACTATCCATATATCCTATTCCAAGATAAATCCCAGATGAACTAGAAATATAAAGGCAAAGGTGAATCTACTGAAGTATTAGAATTAAGAATGTGTACGTTTATTATTGTCCAGGTAATTTGGGCTAGTCTTGGAACACTCACACACACACACACACACACACACACACACACACACACACACACTTGAAAGTTAATGCACTTAACTCTGCCAAGCTACCTTTCGTGCACTAACTTTTGGGAAAAGGTCAAGCGTAACCTACATACAACCTGCTTCTCCAGAAAATATCTTTGGAGCAAAGGGATCTTACAGATATGTTTTTAGAGGTCACTGTCTGTTTAACACAAGCACTGGGGGGAGGTACCATGGATGATTAAGACATCAAAACACATAAAAATACTGTGGTGTCAAAAAAGCGTATACACATTTTAAGGGATGTTATCTACGTATTACTTTTTGAAGTTGGATTGAATTACAGTAGCAATGTACAGTATGACTTCACTCAAAAGATGGTGTTCATCAAACGAATGCTAGCGTCACCACAAGACAGGCAGGACAGTCAAAGAAAATGGTGGAAGCACGGTTGTCGGAGGAGCGCAAGACCGTTTTGAAGCGATCTTTGAAATCTTCACAGCATCTTGGATGGACTTAGAGTCTATAATAATGAGTGATCTATCACAGAAACAAAGAACTGAGTATCATATGTTCTCACTCATAAGTGGCCCTTAAACAATTATTGTAATACGATAAGAAAAGGACTGTCAGTTGTGGAAAATTGCTGGGCGAGGGGAGGCAGGATTGGCAGTAGTAAGATTCTGCTGGGGGTGGGTACACCTCATCGACAAGGGTACTTATATAATGAACATTTGTATGCTTAACGCTGAATTGTACCCCACATCTTTAGAATTAAAAATTAAAAAAAAATTGAGAACGTTATGGAAGTACAATGACAATGGAAGCGTGGGTATGCGACAGAACCTCTAGCACGCCTGACAACTGCACTCATTTGTGATGAGTATGAGACACATGGTCCTGTGTGTGACGAGTATAAGGAAAGATCTAGGAGGGCTCAAACAGCAACAAGTCCTGCAGTAGTTCGCCATCATTAGAAGAGTCTGGACACTGATGGTGGCCACTGTGAGCACCCTTGTTATTGCAGAAGTCACACATGACTTGTATTTATCTTTTGTTATCAGTATATATTGAGTATTACAATTCAATGCAGGGTTTTCCTTTCTTAAAACTGCATGCCTTTTTTTGGCATCCTCTGTATAAAGTGTACTTATTTCTAAAAAAGCCATAAACAAGATCAGAAGGCAAAAGACAAACCAATGAAGACATTTACAACATGAAAGACATGGACATTTCTACTATAGAGAGAGCCAAGGCAACTGACAGCCTCGAGTTTCTGGTGGAGACTTGACTTGTGCTGCAGCACCCACCTCTGTTCTCCGGGGAGGGTCCCCAATTTGACAGGAGTCGGTCCCCGACCCTCAGAACGCAGAACCCCAAACTCCCAGGAGAAGGTCCATGAATTTCAGAACACATATTCCCCCACCCCCCAGGAGGAGGTTGATGATTCTCAAAACACAGACCCCCACGCCCCCCAGGAGTAGGTCCGTGATTCTCAGAACACAGAACACCAAGCCCCCCAGGAGTCAGTCTCTGACTCTCAGAATACAGACCCTCCCCCACCCCCCGCCCAGGAGTAGGTCCATGGCTCTCAAAACACAGAACTCCCCTGGTCAGAGTAGGTCCATGACACTCAAAATACAGGCCATTCCACACCCCCAGGAGTTGGTCCTTGACTCTCAGAACTCAGACCCATACTCCCTCCAGGAGTGGGTCTATGACTTCCAGAATACAGACCCCTCCATCCCCCCCAAATAGTAGGTCTCGTGACTCTCAAAATAAAAAATTGGCTGGGCGCAGTGGCTCACGCCTATAATTCCAGCACCGTGGGAGTCCAAGGTAAGAGGATTGCCTGAGCCCACAGATTTGAGACCAGCCTGAGCAACTTGGCAAGACTACAACAAATCAAAAAAATTAGCCAGGTGTGGTGGCATATGCCTATAGTTCCCGCTACTTGAAAGGCTGAGGCGGAAGAATCACCTGAGCCCAGCCCGTTGAGGTTTCAGTGGCTGACAGCATACCACTGCACTCCAGCCTGGGCGATGGAGTGAGACTCCGACCCCCTCACCCAAAAAAGAAACTTACCCAAATCCATGTACTGTCCTGGTTTGTTGGGTACCAAGTTAGAGTAATAGGTTTGTTGGGTACCAAGTTAGGGTAATAGGGTAATAACTAATGAAAAGATCAGAAGGGTTCCAACCCAGCGGGGGGTTACTATTTGAGGGTTTTTGGTGGTGGTGATTTGGGTGTTTTCTTCAAAGCAGATCGCTAAATGGTTATTTTGATAATAGAATAGTATGCTCTGTCACATGACAGATTGTAGGTGGGTCCAGGCCAGAACCATGCTGACCAACTCTGCAGGGCCCAGATGGCTTACAATGACCCCCCCTACCACCACCCCTCATTCAGGATGTGGGATGGATGAGCTTGCCGGTCACACAAAGCTGCAATGGAGTCTGGAAGGGGGGGTGGGGACGAGGGAGTATCTTTTCTGAGAGTCAAGGACCTACTCCTGGGAGGATGGGGGGTCTGTATTCTAAGAGTCGTGGACGTATTTCTGGGGGCTTGGAAGGGTCTGTGTTATGAGAGTCATGAACCTACTCCTGGAGGGATGGGGGGGTCTGTGTTCTAAGTGTCATGGACCTACTCATGGGGGGTGGGGGATGTCTGTGTCACGAGAGTCATGGATGTACTCCTGGGGTGGGGGGCGTCTGTGTTCTGAGAGTCATGGGTGTACTCCTGGGAGGGAGGGGTCTGTGTTCTGAGAGTCACTGACCTACTTCTGGGGGCGTGGAGAGGATATGTGTTCTGAGAGTCAGGGCCTACTCCTGGGTGGAGATCAGGGGTGTCTGTGTTCTGAGAGTCAGGGATCTGCTTCTGGGTTGGGGAGGAGTCTATGTCTGAGAGTCATGGACCTACTCCTGGGCAGGTGGGGGTGTTTGTGGTCTGAGATTCATGGACCTATTCGAGGGGGGAATTGGGGGGAATCTGTGTTCTGAGCATCATGGACCTACTTCTAGGGGTGGGGAGTTCTGTGTTCTGAGAGTCAGGGACCTACTCCTTGGGGCTGGGGTGAGTCTGGGCTCTGAGCATCATGGACCCACTCCTGAGGGGGTGGGAGGTCCACTTTCTGAGAATCAGGTACCTACTCCTTTAGGGGTAAGGGGGCCTTTATTCTGAGAGTCATGATCCCACTCTGGGCAGCGAGGGGAGATCTGTGCTGTGAGTCATGAGCCTATTTCTGGAGGGGTGGGGGCTTCTGTGTTTTGAGAGTCATGAACCTACTCCTCAAGGGGTGGCATTGAACACTTGGCATCTGGAGCGAGAGAGAAGTTAGATGGGGAGGCAAAGTCAGAAGTTAGGCAGTGTGCCCAATGTAACAGTGATTGTCGATGCTAGGGGATCCATGACTATTCCCAGGACTGGAAGTGAGGAAGAGGAGAGCTCGGATCTAGCCTCAAGTTGAATGCAGGGGACATCTGACCTTCTCCCAGGATCCTGGTTAGTTGGTAACAAGAAAGGCAGCTTAGCAGAGTGAAGAAACCCTGGGTTGTCCTCAGCAGATGCATGTCTGAGTTCCATGGCTAGCCCAAATTAACTGGAAGATTTTGGAGGACTCTGGTTAGGGAGGAGGAGAAAGAAAATGGGCTGGAGAAATGTATCGGCTTGACAGAAGGAAAACCAGGAACGTGTGAAGTCCTGGATGTGGGAGGGAAGCGGGGCGTCGGCACCAGCCCTGCAGAGACGCTGGGACAGTCAGAGATGGGAAAGGTGCGCTGCCTGGCCCTGAGGAGACCACTGAAAACTCGGGATGCAGCCATGGTTAAGATGTAGCAGGGAGGCAGCTGGGAAGAGAACTCAGAGGAGCCTGACGAGAGAAGAGAGGGGACGCCTGGGGGGCACCAGTAGTAACAGAAATCTCCCCAACACCCTGTAGGGTGGAACCAGCACTCAACGCTGAACTCAGATATTGGCTGTCATTTTATTTATTTTTGAGAAATAAATAAAGGGTCTCACTCTATCGCTCAGGCTGGGAGTGCAGTGGCACATCATAGCTCACTGTAACCTCCAGCTCCTGGGCTTAAGGGGTTCCTTCTGCCTCAGGCTCCCAAGTAGCTGGACTACAGGAGTGTACCTCCACGCTGGGCTAATTTTTTAAAATTACTTTTTGTAGAGACAAGGGTCTCACCATATTGCCCAGGCTAGTCTCAATCTCCTGAACTGAAAGGATCCTGTGCCTTGGCTTCCCAACGTTCTGGGATTACAGGCCCAAGCCACAGAGCCCAGACCCCAACAGACCTCCCAGACCCATCCCACAGTTCCCGCGTCCCCTCCCCCACTCAGCTCGCGCCTGTCAAGGGTCCCTCGCAAGTGCCAGCCCCTTCTCCGGGTGGAAGGTCAAGAGTCCTCTCCCCGCTAGGCAGCCCAGCACAGGTCGCCTCAGGTGAAAGGTCAAGAGTCCTCCTCCCCTCCGCCGCCCCCCCTCCCGGGATGGACAGTCAGAGGTTCGTGTCTCGCCT